AATCCTAAGTAGGGATGAGTCAACGCCTAATACGCGTTGCCGGATGCCATATTCCCGTAAGAAATGACGAAGTCTATGTATTCAAAATCATAGCATTAAGTCTAAGAGAAGCAATTCTCTTAGCACAACGTTACATGTGAAACGGGTTTTAATAATTCACATGCTAGCCCGATTCAAACGGTAATCGGTAAAGGCACGTCAAACCCGTTGATGGCTGGGGGTTTGCCAAAAATCCCAAAGCCTATGTCTAACACACATGGCCGGTTAGTCTTTGACCGTAAAAAGGACAAAAGACCACATATTCAACATTGTGGCAGGTTGTTATTAACACGGGGAATTTTATCTCAACTCCTAAATAGAGATAAGTCTACGCCTAACACGCGTTGCCGGTTTAGTCTTTTACCGATTGAAGAAGACATCAGAATTCCAGTCTGGGGAATTTCATCCCGAAGCCTAAGGAGGGATGAGTCAACGCCTAACACGCGTTGCCGGTTTAGTCTTTTACCGATTGAAGAAGACACCAGAATCCGAGTCTGGGGATTTTTATCCTGAATCCTAAGTAAGGATAAGTCAGCGCCTAACACGCGTTGCCGGGTAGTCTATTCCCGTGAGAAAGACGAAGTCTACGTATTCAATGTCGTAGCACTAAAAGAGTTAACTCTTTTAGCACAACGTTATGTGCAGAACGGATCTAAACAATTTGCATGCTAGCCCGACTCAAACGGTAGTCGGTAAAGGCTCATCAAACCCGTTGATGGCTGAGAATTTGCCAAAAATTCTATAAGTATGAGTCATTGATGCATCAGCTCTGTTAGTTGGTCTCGTGACCCAATTATCCAACAACATTAAGATAAGATCCACAAATGCAGATGAATCAGCTTTAACAGTTGGTCCTGCAACCTCGATACTTGGGACCGCCGTGCTCTAATACCTTAAGAGCTTAAACTGTGTATACTCCAGTAAACGTACGAGTATAAACTGTGTCAACGTACGACGTTCGAAACCCTAGGGTCAACGCCGGTCAACACGTAACCCTAGGTCAACACCGGTCAACGCGTTGCGATCAAAAAGTCAACGCGAATCAATGTATCATGACGGAGATAGTCAGTTCAAAGTCAACTCAATGACACGAGCAAAACTCAACTCACCGGTAGTAGACTCGAAACTCCGACGACGGCCAGGCGATAAACGCAGCGCCGGAAGGACTTCGGCTATTCGTCAAAGCATCGAATAAACCAAAAATCGAAGGAGCCAAGAGTTGAAGCTAACTACAGGTCCTTTACACGAATCGAAGGCTGGACCAATCATATCCAAAGTATTCCAGCCTATTCTATAAAAGAAACGAGTCTGGAACGCTTTGGAGGGGGTATCTGTAGGCATCGAAAATTGCCTATAGGTCTCCACGAACAGCTCAAAGCTAAGAGAAGACGATGAACGTCACTATCCAAGTCACAGAAGCTTGATTGATGTCGACGAATGCTGGAAGTGAATCGGCGAACTATGTGAAGCAACGGTGTTTCAGAATAATAAGGATACGAACTGATCGGGAACCTCGTGTCACTTACAAAAGATGGAATTTCCTTCGTGTCTCATTTATTCCACAGATGATCTAATCATTGGAGCTTATAGAACTCTTCGTTAGCTTTCCAACACACTTTGAATCACTCAAATCCGAGTTCGGACGAAGAAATTACGGCGGGAACGGACGAGGAGGTGAAAATACGTCTCAACCTTAGGTGAGACACCACGTGGTGTCTCGGCCAAGGCCGAGACACCCAAGGGTGTCTTGGCCCAAGTTGAGACACCCTAGGGTGTCTCGGAGCAGTTTGAGACACCCTAGGGTGTCTCGGAGCAGTTTGAGACACCCTAGGATGTCTCGGCCAAGTTTGAGACACCCTGAGGTGTCTCCAAGCAGTTTTTGTCTCGTGCCTATAAATACAAGCCTCAGACCCTTATTTTTTGGAGAGAGCTGGAATTCTTGTGCCTCGGCGAAGCCCTGCCAGATTGAAGACTTAAAGTACATAGATTTCAGAGAGGAGGAGGAGAGATCGGATCGAGTTCTTCAACGCAAGAGACAGAGATTCGTCAGATCTACAGTTTCCCGGATCCGTTCCTTAGGATTATCCCGTTGCGGTAATCTTAAGAAGAGTGATTATCTCGCTTCGCCGAGATAAGAGCTACAGTTTCTCAATCCCTTCGCGGATAGACGAAGCTCTGCCCAATTTTTTTCAGCAATCAGATCTGATTGACGGTGGTCCACGGATAAACCCTGGCACAGGCAAAGATCCCACGCAAGCAGAAGACCGATAAACGATCTCTGCGTTTGTTTGATAAAGTTGTAAACTTTTTTTTGCTTTCATTGTGTAAAAGTCTTATAAAAAGACTGATTTTTGTATTCGTTGTAAACGTCTGAAGTTTGTAATGAATCTCGCAATGAAACAAGCAACTTTCACCGCAAACAGTGGACAGTCTAATTTTCGGACCGCGTGTAAGCCTTCTTCTTCTTTGTGGTCGGTGTTTCTTAGGATGACACTTGTTGTGTTGCTGATTGCGAGAACTCATGGATGTGGTGACCTTCTTCTACGACGTCTGTGTAGAACGGCGGGTATAAGGCCGATCCTTCACCGTTAAGGAGTTGCGAATAAAAGTTTTGGGAGGGATCCATAAGATTTGTAATTTGATAGGAAAATATAGAGTTTTTTTTTATGAGAGAGTTGTGTGGAATGATTTGTGTAGTGAATTGAGTATTTATAGAAAAATTTTTACTGTTCTTGCTAATTTTTTAAATCTCAACGGCTAATTTACTGTTCATGTTAATTTTGAAAAATCTCAACGGCTATTTCCAAATTAGACTCAAAGGTAGGGTTTTTTTTGTAAATTTTAATAGCTAGGAGCTCCCAAACGCTCAACAAATTTGTGGAGCGCTTGGGAGCTCCGTGGCACAAGATCCTAGGCTCTGTGCCACGCCAACCCAAGGAGAGGCCTTGGGAGTTTGCTAGAGCATCTGCAGTAAGCTCCCACCGCCACCTCAGCATTAGGAGGTGGGGTGAGGGCTTGCTGCAGATGCTCCGGCCACGGCAGCCTAGGAGTTTGTGCTCATGGAGCTCCAAACGCTCCACAACATCCTGTGGGAGCGCTTGGAGAAGCTCGCAGCCTATCTAAAATATGTTTTTTTACAAAAAACCCTCTATATTTGAGTCCAGTTTGGAAATAGCTGTTTAAAAATTAGCCGTTGAGATTTTTTTAAAATTGACATGAACAGTAAATTAGCAGTTGAGATTAAAAAATTGGCATGAACAGTAAAAAAATTCAATAAATACTCAATTCACTACACAAATCATTCCACACAACTCTCTCATAAAAAACTCTATATTTTCCCATCAAATTACAAATCTTATGGATCACTCCCAAAACTTTTATTCACAACTCCTTATTGGTGAATGATCGGCCTTATACCCGTCGTTCTACACAGACGTTGTAGAAGAAGATCACCCCATCCATGAGTTCTCGCAATCAGCAACACAACAAGTGTCATCCCAAGAAACACCGACCACAAAGAAGAAGAAAGCTTACACGCGGTCCGAAAATTAAACTGTCCACGATGATACGCTTCTTGTGTCTGCTTGGCTGAACACGAGCCAAGACGCCATCCAAGGTACGGGGAAACACAAAGATAAGTTTTGGTACAGAGCTAACGACTACTTTATCCAATACTCCACCAATCCAACGAGCCACACACCAAAGATGTCAATAATCGATCGAACGAACCTCTTCGGGCTCTCAATTGACGTACTTTCCCCGATCCGAACGTAGTCGTCAACGGATTCAGCGGATGCTCCATATGCGAGCATTCACATAGCCGCAGTAATCTTTTGAAGGCTAGATAGTCCCAACTGTCCAACACCATTCCTCTTTTGGACGAAGTAATCGTCATGTTCGACGACTGCGTTGTGAATTCGAAGGAATAACGAACGTGACATTCTGAATCTTCAACGAAAATAATGAAGAGGATAGGTTGGTATGTCTGCAAAATAATCTTGGAACAACCGATTGTGGCCTTCCAGTCGGTTTCGATGGAGCACGATACGTCTTTTGTGTTGACGTGAAGTTCCAACTTTCTCTTGTTCTTCTTCCTCGACAACAACAACTCCCATAAGAAAGAACATCTTCATCATTTCATCATCGCTTGAGCTATATGAGCTAGACATTTTGTTGTGGGAGATGATGGGTTGAGGTGAGAAGGCGTCGAGTTTTATAGGAATCAGTCGGTTGACAGTCAAAGTGTTCGATACCTTGAACTTCGTGCCCAACGGATAGGAATCTATCAGTTGTCAGTGAAAGTGCATGTTCGCTCGAAGACTGTGTCCAACGGATACGAATCTGTCTGTTGTCAGTGGAATTAAATAAAAGAGGTTTAAATATAATTGAAAGTAATATGCAACAAAACTAAAATAGAAGAGAGGTGTTTTTTTGATATTGTTGGAGCTCCTAACTAGGAGTTTGGTTAGGAGGTTTCTCATGTGATGTGACATTGAAAATGGTGGACCATATCTTGAGAGGACTTGAGAGCTTTTCAATAAGAACTTTCAACTAGGGAACAAATTTTCACTGTAGACCCAAATCAATTTTTTATTACCAAAATCGACCGATTTTTTTTAATTACCAAAATCGACCCGTTTTAGGACACGTAGGTGTAATCCAGTTTCCTAATTAGTCGGGGTTGCCAACCCCGACTATTTAGGAGTTGTTAAACCGAGTTTTAAGGCTTCTAATCGGGGTTTAACAACTCCTAAACAGTCGGGGTTGGCAACCCCGACTAATTAGAAAACTGGATTAAGCCTACGTGGCATAAAACGGATCGATTTTGGTAATTAAAAAAAAAATCGGTCGATTTTGATAATTAAAATTCTGTTTAGGTCTACAGTGAAAATTTATTCTTCAACTAGGAGCTTATTGGGGATGCTGTTGTTGATTATCTTTAACAAAAAGCAGGGGTATAAACTATTTTTTTCCTCCTCTTCGTCAGTTCCTAGACGTCACCTTTTACCACTATCTCACCTGCGCTGGGGACCTCGTCACCTTTCCGTCAGCGTGCTATCGCGATCTCAGGTTATCCGATTTCCTTTTCCACTTTTTTAATTGAAAAATATCAGTTTTTGAAATGAAGCCCTAAATGATCATTCAGGAACCCAAAAAAGTCCAATGTTTTTTGTATTTAGTTTTCGATTTAATGTTTGGATTCTTGTTGTTGCAACCCTGCGAATTTAACAGCGATAATGACAAGTTGTTCCTTTTTTAAATTTGACCAATTGAACTTCGTGAGGATGGCGTTTTGTGAAGAGTAACCGATAAAGTTGGCTACTTATTTATTTATTTATTTATTTATGTAATGGAGAATTTCTCTCTTTTTTCTGACCGACCTTTTATGTTTGTGTAAAAAGTTATTAAAAATCGAACTTTAGGAAGGCATCTCTTTTGAATATCAACGGAGAAATTTCGCAAAGGTTGTTGATTGCTTTGATGTATGTAGCCTTTTAAGATGTCAAAATAATATGATACCAAACTATTTTGTAGATCTCTATTGGATGGCCTCTCAAGAATTTGAAGCCCGGTTTCCCTTTTTCTACGCTTCATTTTTACTTAGGGGGTGTTTGGTTACATTTCTATAAATTATAGGAAATGTTTTCCATCCCAAATTTGATTTCCTTGTATTTCTTAAAAAAAATTATAGGAAAAGTTTTGAGAAGTTAAAAAGTACAAATTTTCTTATTTTTTGTATTGTGCTTGTTTGGTTCAAAACAAGAAAATGAGAAATAACTTTTGGGAAAATAGCAACATTTCCTATAATTTATAGAAATGTAACCAAACACCACCAACTTTATAGAAAAGTGAGAACTTTGTAGAAAATAGTTAATGAGTTTTATTATTTAAATAATGAATGCGTCAGATTTCCAAGAGATTTCCTCCCATTTTAGAAGGAAATCAATTTCCATAAAATTTGGTACTTTTGGGCACTTTACAGAAAACATTTCTGTAAATTTTTTTGGATCCAAACACAGTTTATAGAAATGTATAGAAAATTCTTAATTACATAAATGCCATGCGTCAGTACTTTTGAGAAAACATTTCTAAAAAACAATGCAACCAAACACCCCCTTAATGGAGAAGCTAAATTGCACAAACCCCACAGAAGTTTTGATCCATTTTTAGTAACCCCATTTACTTTTGAAAATATCGCAAAACACCAAAAAAAACTTTTGGGTTGTGTTATTAACTTATTAGCCTCCTAGAATGTTTTACATTTTTCACTCCTAAAAGGTGTTTGGTGAACTGGTAAAAAGTTCAAAATATCCTTTTCAAATTAACATTCTAATTATTAAATCAATAGCTCTAATCAGCCCCAATCAAATATAATCCTAGAAAGTTGATCGAGACCGCGGAGGACAAAAGGGTTTTTTCCTCGCGCTATGCATGTGGGAAGTGCAAAAACCGTTGTTAGATTAGGTTTTTCTTACGAAACTTTTTTTTGGTGTTTTGGGACCATTTTAGAAGGTTTGGGTTATTTGGGCAAAACTTTTGAGGGTTTATGAAAAATGCCTGACGATTATCAAGTTCTTCATCAATTTGGGTTATTTAAAATGGGCAATACTTTTGAGGGGTTATGAGCAATGCCTCACGCTTCTCAAGTTCTTCATCAATCATCTTCAACCTCACATTGCAAGAACCTGTAACCTTCAAAATCCTACTCATAGTCACCCAGGTCGCATTTTTTCAGTACTTAAAAGTACCTTACATTTGCCAGGTTTCCATCTCCAATTTCACACAGACAGTTTTTGTGAAATTGTATTCCACAACCTGATGGATGCAGAACAATTTTCTATTAACGCATGATGCATATGATCTACTTCAAAAATAAATTAGAGCAAAATTCACCTGAGTAAACTGTCAAAATTAGTGCATAAATGTTCTGATCATGTAGTTCTGTCTGTGGACGGTCAACCAGTGTAAAGTAACTCACGCTACTTGTCCAAAACTCTTGTAACCTCATTTCAGATTCTGCAACTTAGTGCGTTTTCCAGACTTTTATGAGATTTATCTGGCATTTTATTGGTGTAAGGACTAAGGGGAGAGTTGATTATTTGTATATTTTATTTCTTGGCAGATTAACTATAATGTCTTGAACTTAGGAGTTTGAAGGGCAGAGTGTGATGCAGAAGGATGTCTCACCCGCTATGAGTTATATTCAAGTTCTGTCAGAAATTTAATTGATAAACGATAATTTCAAGTAAATTTGAATAATAAGTTCTTTTGTCTTAAATAAATTAGGACAAAATTTTTAAATAAACTATTTTTAAAAAATAATTATCATTTTGACCTAGTTGCAACTTGTTTATCAAAATTGACCTAGTTTCAGCCACATCAACAACGTGGGCTAAAACTGGGTCGAGTTTGATAAATAAGTTCTTAGAAGTTAGAACTCTGCGGGATTAAGAATTTGTGTAGTTTAGTAGAAATTTAAACTTACTATACGGGATTGGGAATTCCGTGTAGTTTATATGGGCATCTCCAACAGCTTCTCCAAAATTTTCTCCAAAATAGGGAAGCAAAAGTCATATTCTCCAAATTATTTTTACACCAACTCCAACAGCTTTCCCATTTTGAAGAATCCTTTTTTTCCTCTAAAAATTTGGAGAATGCTGCAGATTTGGGGAAGCTTCCCCATTTTTTCTCCTCCATCCCTATTTTGGGGAATGAGATGGGGAATCTGTTGGACCAAAAACCTAACTAAATTCTCCAAAAGTGAGAAATGGGGAAGCTGTTGGAGATGCTCTAACATATAAACTACACGAGATTCACAATCTCGTGTAGTTGATTCAATGGTTTGCAGCTTAAGTTATGAGTCGAAAGGGCATTGTTTGAATCTTAGCCAAATAATGAATCTTTTTTAATGTTTAACTTCTGAATAGATAAATATAAAAATGAAATTAATGTTGGCGGTGATGAGATTCGAACTCAAGACCATTTGAGTAATTAAAGTCTAACTCTCTTGGAGCTAACCACTTAGCCAACTACATGGGATTGTTGTGAATCCCGTGTAGTTTCTATGTTATAAACTACACGGGATTCCCAATTCTGTGTAGTTTAGTATGGGATTGAGAATGCGATGGAGTCTAATTTTCTACTAACTACACAGGATTCTCAATCCCGTAGAGTTCATAAAATATTTTTCTCAATTTCGACCCAGTTTCAGCCCAGGTGATTGAAACTATGTCGCAATTGCTAAATAAGTTACAACTGGGTTGATTTTGGTGATTAAGTTTCTAACCAGGTCTATTTTAAAAATTTGTCCAATAAATTATTCCTTTTCCTGAATTAACGATTCTTCCATAAAGATTTTGATGGTTCACCAAGAATTTTGAAAGCTCAACCTCTTCAGGAAAGATGAACTGCTAAGTTAAGAAGCAGATAGACCTTAAAGCTTCAGTATATATTACTATCTATTTGTGTTCCTGGTTGTATTTTTATACATGTCTCTTCACTCAATGTTTGTTACTTTCATTGATATTAATCCTAGCATTTGTCCTTCCAGAAATATTCTATCAATCTTCACCTGATCCACTTCGTACATTGTTAACCATTGTATTAGGGTGTTTCGGTGTGTTAAGGAATGTTTGGAGAGTCTTAAGGTGAACAACATTTATAGATTTATGGGTCTGGTTTTAACATACAAGGTTGGGTTTAAAAGACGTTCTTATATGACCTCTAATCCTCCATCTTCCAGATTTTAGAGGAATCAATTATCTGTTGCATTCCATGGTTGTAGGCCCTTGTGCCGGATCATGTCAACTGCTGTGTGCTGTGATTCTATTCTGTTTTCTTTATATCTTGTCTTCCTGCCAAATGCAACTGTGCGCTATGCTTAATCTAGAATATGGTATTACATTTAATTACTAGTGCATCTTAAATGGTCAAAATCTGTTCAAAGTAGCATTAATAATTAACCTTCTATAATTGCAGTGGGAGTGCGTTTCAAAATCTTTCTAATCTTCGTCAGTATTCATTATCTATGGGATATTGTTAGGGTTTTGATAATGGTATATTGGAATAAAATGCTTCAGTATTTGTATATCTTTGCATAGTCTTGCTTTGTAGGTAACTTTTAGGGCTTGTTTGGATTGAAGGGAAGTTAGGGGAACCATTCACCTTGTTTGGGAACATTTAGGAGGTGAAGTTATTCACCCTAGTTCCCCTTGGTTCACCCCCTAATAGTATAAAATTTGTTACCCCCCAAATTGGGGTGTAACCAAGGGGAAGGGAACTCCCTTCCCTTCCATTCTCTCACCTAGTTTCCCTTAACCCCATTGAAATCCAAACACACCATTAGTGTAGCTCTTCTGGACAGGGTTCTCTGAGAGGTAAAGAACAGATGCCTCCCAAGACTATAACCCCCAGCAAAATGATCTGGGGGCCAATATCAGAATAATTTACAGAATCAACAACCTTTGTAGTTCTGCTGCAAGTGGGGACCTTTATTGAGAAATGAACTCAAGCCTATCCGAAGATTTCTTCTTAAAGTTCAATAGGTAGAAAAACCTTAAAGAAAGCTAACTCTTGGATCATTCAGAATCAACAGGCCTACTTGGTACCTGATGCAAAATAAGATACTGATAACTATTAAATATGGATTTTGAATTTAGGCAGTGGGGATATGATTCGTTGATGTCTAGAAAGTTTAAAGCATGTTTCTTTGGCTTGGTAAACTTCGCCATTTTGATTTTCATTTTGTTAATTCCAAGAGTCTACTTCAAGCCTAGCTTCCTATAGCTGATTACATGTGAACAGTTCAAGTTGGAGCTTGAAAATTGTACTGCTAGCTTATGGCAACTTTGTTATAATATTCATCAGTCATGACAAATGACAATCTATTATAGATTGCTTTCACATAACTTGCTATCAGCTCCCTTCCCCAATCCTTACTCCTGTTGTGTGTTTCCCTGCATGCTTGCATGCTGGTAGGTGGTTCTTGAAATTTAGATAATATTGTTTGATCTTTTTGTAGTAGAGCTTTGGAGACCTCCTTAAATTTCAATATTTATCATTTTCTCATT